AACTTATTCCACGATGCTCGTTCACCAGGTCCACTGTTCGATTGAAGACACCATAAACCACTTGGAAAACAAAGGAATGTTGCTTCTCGTAACGCGCGTCAGTTTCAAACCTGCGCCTCACCCATTTTTTTTGTTGTTGCAATTTTGCATAGTACTTAGTCGAGTGAAGTGCGCCACACCCGGTAAAATGGAAGAAACACTTTCCATGCTTCAAAGATTCAAATCAATTTTTAATGTATGCATTTAATATATAGTATGTTATTGTAGTATTGAAGAATAACAAATAAAATACAAATAAAATCACAATAAAATAAATAAAACCCTATCAGTTTTCAATTTTCTCTGGAAAGAGCAATATTCTTCAAATCCCATTTATTACGTATCTGTCTGAGGCTCGATCAATATTAGTACCCTATAAAATTACATACCTGTTAATTTAAAAAGATTTATGCGTCATAGGAATACGGAAATTACATTTTATGCAAACTAAGTCAATTGGGACTGCGGCAACAACGGATGGCATATTATTGGAGATTGCGATGCAGATAGTAAACGTGCGTTATTTTACTTACACAATATTCTGTCAGTGCCATAATATATCCTTTATTTTGTCAACATCACGATTATTAACTCATTCTAATTACGAACATCCTTATTATGGAATAAACCGCTACTCACAAATATAGACCTTATATCGTACTCTCGCGAGATTCATAATATATTTACGATGGGCCGGATCTATACAGATGACGTGTAGATTTGCTGAAACACTTTACCTAGGACGTGGCTCATAATTTTTCAAGGGGTGAAATCAGAATATCTCGTGCAACTCAGTTTTTGAAAGATCATATGTATTAGTATGTTTTTGATACCAGCCTCTTACAAAGTGTCGCCCACATTCGTGAAAATCTCGTAAACACGAACGCGCCGTATCACGTGATAAACTCGCACAGCAAGGTGGTGTAACCTGTTGTGTTTATTCGCGAGTTCGTTTGCAAATTACACGATGGGAGAATGACGGCGATGAGTCTGGAATAAGTTCACTTAAAGTGGGGGTGTCGTCACATGCGCATGCGGCAAACGGCCATAGCGTGTCGGTGTATACTAACAAAGGTCTGCCCATGAGCCTTTGCGATTTTAGCGTGTGTTGTTATCGTCGCTTGAGACTCAATTCTCGCGCACGCGCAGGTGACGACCCTCATGCTTTAATCGCCGTGTTTCTGTTGTGAATCAGATTACTGTTACTAATCGTGAAATTCCAGAGATTTGTTACAAGAGACCAGGCGTAGATTCGTGGCTCTGCTGTTGAAATATTGGGTTGAATGTTGTACATGTGTGAGTAACTTGACACTTAATTGACGCTCATCGTTGTGACTCGGCGGAAGTGAAGACGCATTGTCAACACGTGTTCGAATTTGTTGACTCAGCAGATGTACGAATCTCGGTTATTAACCTAATCAATCACTGTTTTACGGCATACGGCTTTAATAGTCTAATCACACGATCTTCTCAGTCTTCTACACGGGTTCTCGAAACCTCATCACCTTATCATATGGTGATGATTAAGTGTAAACTAATTCTTGTTATATATATGCATGTCATACCGAACACTGCAATACGATAGCTACGCATAGAGTCAGCACGGGGTCACGCTGAGTTTAAGCTATCAATACAGAATAATTATATGATGAACTTGAAACTGCGCGTGAATATTTTCTGTAAACGCTTCTCTCGAAATCTAACTCCACGTAGTAAACATTACACTGGATAATTACTATTCAAAATGATCATAACCACAGGTGTTTGCATGTAAAATGAGAAACATGAATAAAGTACATTTCTCCGAGAATTCTGATTTTGTAGTAATAACAGCCCAAGAATAAGGTACAACACATCTAAATGCGCAGTTAAGGGGTCACCACGGGTCTCATCAAATGGCCCACGGTCTTTTTTTACCGCTTGTACTATTATACACAGAGTAATAGTAGCGAAGTAGTTCGTGTCTGTCATCACGATCATTGTAAATGTTTCTAATCCCGCATCGGAGATATATACTGTTACTTGTTAAGCTTTCCCAGATGCCAGGACTGAGATATTGCAATAATCGATATCACTTTCATGAGATACGGTCGGTTACAACTATTGATGAATTCATGGTTTTTTTTCTCTCGCGTGACGCAGTACGGACCTGTACGTTAATGTTCGGTCACGGAGAATACGGTTAATTGCAAATAGTTGAAAATGGGGTCACTCTAAGTAAATAAAGACTATATATATATATATATATATCTCATTTTAATGAGAAATCCTTGACCGTGCAACAAGTAATGAGACGTCCGTGGGCCACCCGTACCCTTGTCGCACGCACCCATGCATTGAACTTCACCGTGACGCTGTGAATCACATCGGCGAAGGCATTCTTTGTCCAGTTTCATTGCAATTGTTCCCAGTGTATGAGAACCATAGACTGCGCGTTACCGAGCACTCCACCAAAATAATCGCCATTGTATAAATGGTTCATGTCTGATTAACCCTAACAGAAAACTCACATCAGGTTTCAAACAGTTGGAAATAATTTAATTTAGAAATACAAGATTGTCTTCGTGAGATCAAAATAAACCACCATTAACACTGTTTTCAATAGTAAGTCACAGTCGCCGTAGACAACTGTCAATTTTGGATATTAACCCCGATTCATATAATAATGATTTAACATATTAATCACTTTAAGAACTCGAAATAATAAATACTCAATGAGTTGATCGGTTTTCTACAGGTGTTAGCTTCCCAGCGGGTATTGCATGAATCAGCCCTGTCATGCTTTGATTTATTTATAGTATTCACTTCGTTAGACATGGAGTGCACTGTGATAGATAGAACCAGGAAAACAATGAAAAATTATGATTGTATACTCAATATGTTCCGATAAAATGCCGCATGTTTAGAGAGCATAGCTTGGAAATTCATTTTCAAATAAGATACTGGAATGGAAAGATAGATCTTAAATATAATTTTTATGACCTCGTTTTTTTATCGACGGATCCCGAAAAGCTGTTGAAATTAAACGATTTCATTTTTGCCTATACTTAAAAAGTTAAGGCAGTTAAACCGTGCTATGGCCAAATACGTGAAGGGAACATTTGACGCTACACGTTTTAAAACACCGTTTCTGTGCATTCAGTCATTGGCAATTGCGTTTCACCTTTAATATTCCTTGGCAAGTATCTTCAAATATCACAGTTTTGCATTACTAGTATAATGTCTGTCTGTATATTCTAATGACTTCAGTTTGATTTGAGGCATGGATTCTAAAGAAAGTGATCTTATGCAATATCAGCACCTGAATATGATTTATCCGCTCCAAAAAGGACGGGTAATCAACCTGATTTATTTGAAGGTGTCTTGGGTTTTTTTTTCAGGTTGTTTGACAATCACTCATTTATTTTTTACTAATATCATTATATGGTTCCTATACTATATTCCACAGCATCTTCCTCAAAGTCAATGAACCGTGTCCATTGTTCACTGATTGGCTATAAACTGCAGGTACTAGTCACGCAATACACCTTACACAAATAGATCGGGAAAATTTAATTCTAGGGTACAATATTTGTTTTAACTATAATTCACCGATTAGTTTGTTTATGATTTACTATTTTACAATATTAATTTCTGGTGAAATGACCTTTTTCAAGTATGCTTTTTAAACGCCAAGCCGATCGATCGCACAATGTTTTACCAAATTTGGTAATTATTGTGCTTCTCATTTTCCTGCATCAATATAAATTATGTCTACACATTGTTTTAGTAATATTCATCTATCATAATTTAAAGACATTTTCACTGTGATCGGTCCGGGAAAGTAGTGTTTAAGTTCTGACGAATGAAATCTAGTATAAGGTAATGAATGGCCAATATATGATGCTATACTTTTACGGGGAACGAGTTATATAATGTTGTAAAATGTTTTGTCGTCGAATTAGTCGAAAAGTCACTGATTTGACATTGCATTCACACTCCTTTCTTGTGAATACATTCCAATACTTTTCAAAAAACACCATGCATGAATTGTCCCACTGTTGGTATCGTGGAGTCGTCTGGCTCTAAATCGTGAGGTGAATGCATAAATATGGAATATTGACTTGACAAAATATTTGTCTTAAGATCCTCAAAAGGACTGTTATTTACTATATTGGTCCGTGTTTGTTACTGAACGCTTGAATGTATGGTTGTCGCGCTGTATGCACTCCGGGACAGTTAGTCACACCCCTACTCCGGATGGAAAGTTCTTTTACGGAAAGCTCATACAAGTATATCTGTCATCTTATGAAGGGGTCTCGGTTTGTTGGTTGTGGGAAAGAAGTGCTTGTGTGTTCCATGTACTTTTAATTTCGTTCTAGATTATCTCGTCAGTTAGTCTTTAGATAAATAGCCTAAAATGAGATACAACAGCTTTGCAGTAACCATAGATTGTTCGTGAGCTCCTTGCCCGCTCATTATATATACCCCGAATTGTACCTGGAAAAATCGTTTGACTCTCTGAGGTATCAACATTATGTTCATATAGTCAATATTGAACAGCGAAAATAAATAAATAAATAAATAAATAAATAAATAAATAAATAAATAAATAAATAAATAAATAAATAAATAAATTTAAAACAGAAAGATATACAAGCTCGTTCTTCCAATGTTTCCTACACCTTCAGAATGATATCCATGTTTATATTTAAATCAATTTGTCATATATTTAGCGTTATCAGAAATATTGTCACCAATAAGTATATTTACAAGCTGTAACATTAATACGGCAAATTATTGCCCTGGTATGAGGGCGCACTTCCCACAGCGTTACCAGTACGAGGTATATGATAATACACAAAATGAACCAATATTTTAAAAACGACGAGAACTCACTGACAAAATTCACTACTGTATAGAGTAGACACATTAAGTAAATATTAATTTAAATAATTACACAATTGTCATTGTCCTCACAGTGGTTCTGGTGTACAGCCTGCCAAGCAATATAGAAGAAACGTTATTCAACGTAACCGGTGAAAATCTGAGAAATATCATTGAAGACAAATTCAGCCAACCAAGGCATCATCTCGAGTCATTATCGGATTACAAAGACGATGCAAGACAGTTTATCAAGGATCAGTTCGAGTTGTTTGGGCTCGAGGTCATCATTCACTCATTTTCGACAGAACATGACATGGTAAGTCGGTTTCCCGTGATGCAGCGCGATCGCACAAGCGGAAACTCCCGAAGCTGCTGTAATCGATTTCGAGTAAAAAAAAGATGCTATAGAAAATATAACCAGAATCGTCAATTGTTCGATCATTATAGCGTCGTTCATTTTTCATATACACGCGTTAGATTTGACTCGAGGTTCTAATATACACAGCGCTGTTAAATTGTACAAGTTCGCCCCGATGACTCATTTCCGGATGTGTTTCATTGTTGAGTGAAAACGTGATATTGTGTGGGCGTGTTTTGATGCAATTGATAGTCATGATGTGCGTCGTGGACACTGCATTTCAGCTCGCAATGACTAGTCGATTACAATGGTACTCGAGTGAAGAATTTAAAATAGACACACTTACAAACATACACTAATTCGAAATTAAAAAAATCGCTTTTCATATTCCGAGAAAATTCTACAACGTCAAAGAATTACCCATGGGTCTACGGTTGCGTAGTAACAACACATCGTCATTTGCAATCACCAATTTATAGTCTATAACAAACTTTTCACTGATTTATTATTAATAATGTTGTTTGAACATCAATCTTAAACTCCGAATTTAATTTATGTCCAATATCGCATGCAGAGTATGACAGGTGATACGTAATACGATTGGCCTAGTTTTATACTGTCGCCAATAGAGGGCGGCATACCAGACTTCAGCGCGTTGTCATGCTGCGTCTCCGATCTTCGTAAATTGTTAATCTTTTCATTGCTGTGTGGTCAGAGTTATTTAACTGTATTCGCTCAGGAAAAAGCGCTTACTATTGATCAAAATATTTGGCTATTTTGATTAGTTTAATTTGGACAACAATATATTAGCAGTGGACTGTACTCTCTCATGCAAATTCAAACTTTATTATACGGGAATGTAGCTCTCTTGTTTCAATGAAAAAAAAATAATCACAGTTATGAAAGGAATTACATAAACGTTATGATTTTATATGGTGTTAAGAAAATTACCAGGACTATTCTTTGTAGAAGGCACAAACGGTGGGCGGATGTTTCGGCCCAAGACGTGTCGGTCGCGGCTTTTTGCAATGGGGAACTTTTCAGCAGCGGGCATTTTTTAGAAAACATCGAATAACTCCGGGGAATAAGGAGAGCCTTGTTAATATATGCTTCTAACAGATCTAGTAAATAAATAAATAAATATAAATATACCGTTCTTCTAACGTGCGAAACTTCCGACATTCATAGTACGAGAAAAAAACAACACTTCAAACACCTTTGTCTTTGAAAAAAACGGGCCGACACGTCCGCGGCCGCAATGTCTACAATGCAAACGGTGGACGGACGTTTGTACAATTATTCAAAAGCAAACTATTTTTGAACTCAATTTCGTTTCTATTCCCCGTACAATCTAATCTTCGATCATGAAAACAGGCTGCAATAATAATGACAATAACAAGCATTGTCTTTGGTAACACATATGACGTATGGTTCCTGAATGCCACACATACTGGCAGCGTCTATTCCTTGATACTTGCTTGCACTAACAATAATAATGTTGTCGTCAACTATTGGACGTCAGTGAAAGTTACATTTGTAACAATTGTTTCATTCTCGATAGTAGTGAACTTGTTCCACTGAAACGTGGATAGTTAAAAATAAACTATTCGTTATCCGAAACAGAAACTACCAGGATGCATTGTTACATATTGGCCCACTTTGTTGCATATTACGTCATTATAGATTGAGGGGAGCAACGTGATTGGAGTCCTGGAGGGCGACATGTCTGGAACGCCTGATGATAAGATCACACTCGTGTTGGCGCACTACGACACTTACCGACATACTTCCGGTGTGGACGACAATGGTTCCGGTGTAGCTGCTATGTTGGAGATAGCCAAGGAGCTTACAAAACAGGAATGTAACCATAAATATACCACCGTATTTGCTGCCATCGACATGGACGTGAAAGAGTCAGCTGACAAAGGTAACCTAACATTTATTTGAATATACTAAACATAAGTGCTTATACATGTAGCTATTTATTTCTATCAGCAACGTAAATTGGCAAAGTATAATTTTCCAGTAACGAAAGCTAAAGTTTTCGGCGATAATTTGTTTTCTCCCCGTTCATTATGGGGTCATTGTAACGTAAATAACGCGTTCAAGTGGTAAGCTTAGATCTCAGACTGTCGTCCGACCTTTTCAGGAGCGTACATGGAATTTCATGTGAAATCGACCTTTCGGCAAACGCTCTGTCCCTTTGTTCATAATTTCCTCACCAATTGTATTTTCTGGTCGTAGGACAATTTTTCAAAATTTCGTCATGATTTTAATTTCATTCATTCATTTATTCATTCATGAGAGCAAACATCTTGTAGAATCTAAATATACTACGTCCAATTTCCGTCTAATTCATATGGTTTGAAGGCGCAATATAGACGAAAACATATATGTTTTAATATTGTTGTTTGATATTTCATGTTGATGATCAATTGAATTATGATTTATCGCGAATTAAAAATGTTGTATTTGCAGCGCACTGCATAGTATTCGTTCGCTGAAAAATAAAAAAGCACTACCACGCATGTGCAGTGACTGTTGTACATACTGACACAGTCAGTGCGCATGCGTATTAGGTAATGTCAGTGTTTCTTCGAACGAATACTTCGCTGTTGTGCTGCAAAGACGACGTGATTGGTTCATAATAATTTATACCCCAATCTATTCGTCAACACACAGTAACAAACAACAACATTAAAAATTACATAATGCATCTTTAAAACTGTATTTATTAAATATAGAGCTTTGTTTTATGTATTTCTAAATTCCAAAATAATTTTGTTTTACCAGTACGGAGTGCGTGTTATAGTCGCATAGCTTGTGGTACCTCCGCGTTCATGCTCAGCTGGTTGAAGCCATATTTGGAAGAAGTCGGTAATCCTATATTGAACGTGGCTCTTATACTTGAGTCAATTATGAATTACGACACCACACCGGAATCCCAGATCATTCCCACTAAGTTTAAGTCGGTAAGTACATAATACCTTCTATGGTGTGATGTTTACAAGTCTTTCAGTTCGTGCCATTCAATCTACAATGATTGGCAACCATCAACACAGATGATCACTTGGTAGATTCCCTTGAATTTTACATTACGGTTTTATTATAGTTTACTAAAGCCAAATACAAATATACGATCAGCGAATTGCTTGTCACACAAAACACCAAGCACACAATTTTAGCTTTTTTGGCTTATTTTGTTAAAAGTTCTCTTCATATCTCAATATTCGGTTATGCAGTTATAAGATAGTCAGTTGAGAATTCATGATGCGTATTAATCCCTCCAAAATATTTCGATCTGGTTAAAACGCCGAAAGGTCTTACCGTCTATGTACAGTTTCTGAAACAAAGGACTATGGTATATATTCACCTAGTATATTTATTAAGTCTATTGCAAGCGAACGATCATAAACGGGCTGGAAAAACGAAATATTTGTTATCAATGTGCAATTTTTGAACAAATCCCATTCAAGATAAGAACCCGTTTTGAAGAATTGATCAATATTAATCAGCTGGTTTTAATCAGAATTCGAGATAACCCAAGGGGACCCGAACACCATCTCAAAAATCGCAATGTCATGGATTATATTCAGTTGATTTTGGGGGCAAAATGTAGTTCGATGGTGCCCATATTTTGCATCCCTTTTTGTGAGCTATAATGAAAACACATTGATGAGCCAATTAATCTATAATCTATATCCATCGCGTGGTGGCGCTATGTGTATTCAGTGTATGAAAATAGTGCTGACGAAAATTCGTCCAGAAATCGGAGTTGCCACGACCTCATTTATGTTCCCAAGAGGCGAATCAGCCGTGGAGATTGTCCATAAATATTCCCATGTGTGTTTATTTTTGACAGACATTTCCAAGCGCAGCGACTGAAGTTGAGGCCAATCAAAATAGAGGAGTTTTCCTGGGAATGATTGGAAGACGATTGGAATCTGACGTCACGACAAAAATAGCAGAGCATTGGAAGAGCCTCCCTAACCCTGAGTTTGTTATTCACAAACTTGAGTTACCAATCGATGGTGAGTAGTATCATAGTTTTACTCGACGTAAATGTAAAATACGTCTACATGCAGCCATATTTGTCTGTCGTCTGTGATTGTCCACCTACGCTTTGTGCGGGAATTTCGTATCTTACTGTTTATAGTAGCACCGTCATAATGCCACGTGTTCGCATTGAAATCATGACAGAATATACTATTTGACAATTGACCTTCATGACTAATTGGCAACATTTCATCGGATCGACACGATGAGTCATGCTGAAAACATCAAGATCAATTTATACCACGAAACTAATCACAAAAAAAACACATTTGTATACGTTTGAAATATCAATTTGATGATGGACAATATATAACTAGATAACAAAATGAGAATATTGAAATTACTAGAAACATTAAAAAAAATTCTGAGTGAAGCTTCACCACACAGTTCTTTTTATTCCAAAGTTTTTTAAAATATTTTTTGATGAGTGATCTAACCGTATTCAGAGGTTACATTCATAAGTTGATTTTAACGTGTTTTTTTGTTTTTGTTTCTGGTAAAAACATTATTGATGGCCACTAAGTTGTTTTATTCAAACGACTTAGTTGTTCATTTTTACAATTGAATTCGATCCCAAAGAAATGATGAGCAGATCTCACCCGCCCCAAAAACATTCGTGCCGCCACCTCTAATCTTCATTCTATATTCAGTACGGGACTTATTTGAGCAACATAATACAACTTACAGTTATAAAAAGACACTGTTTGAAATACAGACCTCTAGCGACGGAAACAAACGCATAAGTGTAGTCAAATGTGAACACTAGAGGGCAGTATGCACATCGCTAAGATTCGTATTTGTACTACGTTGATATATACATGTATATTTGTTTTCAGCTATCCCGAACCAGATAGAACAGACCTTGTATCAGGAATACATGCTGAACAGTAATTTCTTCTTTTGGAACGAGGAAGGAATGAAGGCAGTTTATTTTACTGATACTCGTAAGTAGAGCATTTACATATGTAATGATCTAGAATATTCATATAAGTGGACAGCAGTAAGACAGCGCCCTCGCTCTTCGCCGTGACACATTGAGTTCAAGCAACTATGATGAAGGCAAATATATCCCATATGTCAGGCACAACTGCTTGTATCATTTCGTCGTAACTAGACGGTGATTGGCCAATATAGTGTTAGAATGTTTCCCTATATATACTTTCGATATGTGTTTATTTCCAGGCCAGTCAAGGGGCATAATGAATGAATGTTATCGAATGATGTGCGATGATGTACACACCATCACCGATGAGAAACTACAATTCCTTGCCAAAACCGTCCACAGTCTCAAAAATTATCTCCACGACTTCTCTGAAACTGATCCCACAACATGCAAACAAGGTATGAATGTTTTTAATTTAACAGAGTTACAACACGTCGTGTTGGATACGGGTACCATGTAGTGTACTAATATATGGCGCGTGTAAATTACATTGTTTGTTTACATGAAATTGGAATGTATGCTGCATGGCGATTTTAGTACACAGTTTTTCACTGCTTATATCATTTACCCCACACAACAACTTGCCCTATTATCCTCGGGCGGACATCCGGGTATTTTCAACGCCTGGGAACCATCACACATAGGCCGATAATTCTCAGAAAACTGTACTTTGGGATAGTTGTTGAGGGACTCTCCTGAACAGTTCAACAAGATAACTCTTACAAGTGCAACATGTATAAATTTGGTTGCTCAGGATTACGACAAAGTTTAGTTTATGCTGTTTCCTTGACTTTAGCTGTTTTCCCACGCCTTTCGACAGGCGTTCCACAGAAGGTTTCGCAGAGCCCCTAGAAATACATGGCAGATTGGTGCACGTCTTAGCAACATAGAACGTTTTGTGACGTAGCTCCACCCCCTAGGAGACCGATAAATAAATATACACGTGTGTGTTCATGTTAAGAAAATAACTTAAAAGCAACCTTGTTCGAAAAGATTGACAAGTTTAACGTTAATTAATATATTCTGTATATTCATTGATATTTCAGATGAAGATATTGAACTTGTCGTCCAGGCAGGACAAGTTGAAGCAGGTGACGACGCAAACTACCAACGTGTCAGTTATGTTACTATGGTAACGATGGTGCTACTTTCGATTGCTTTCTGAGACACTGGCACTCCGTGACGTCCAAAGCGTTGTAGTTTCGTTGCAAATAGTGAAGTTATGCGATACAGAGCATTTCGATTTATTTTTTCCGCTAATCGTCAATTGTCGCAAGGCAGGTTTTTGTGTGGTTTACAGGGGGAACTCACTGCCACAACGCGTACACGAGTAAAGAATGATATAGAATCGCCTTCTATAAATGCATCACCAGAGTATTACATGGAACTACTGTAAATTAGAATAGATTTCCACTTCCTGCTTTAAAGTCATTCGATGTTTAATGCCGTGTACGTTTTCCGGTAAAAGAGGGCGCACGTAAATTCTTACCAAATGATCACCTTGCTAACCTGAGAACCCGGACGAGAAACATTGTGTTTCTCTCCTTTCTCCTGTGTCTTAATGTAAATGTTTGGAAGCTGTATGCAATTCTGATGATTATTGTATTTTAAAATTAATTTTTCACGTTATTATATCGTAACCGGATTTTGAGTTGTTATTCGATAGTTTTATGCGATAATATTGAGTGTTTCTATAACTCGTCTGTTCTGTGATCGAAGTGGCATTCACACTACGCAGACATGTGAAACATCACTCAGAATACGTAAAATTATAAAATGTGTGAAAATGATGTTGCTTTTTCTGGAAAAAAAATATATCTATAGCAATTAGATATCCTGTCCTGACTATTCAACAAGTTTATTGTGGGTGTACCGGTCGTTCCTATCCCTTTAGACAAACATACCTACAATGTGACTGGCCCTAAATTAGCGTATGTATATTACCTTCAAATCTAACTTCATTTTAAGTCCGACTCTAGGTATGAAATTTTATATTTATAGTGACCTTCCCACCCCAATTATGTAGTGGTCCCGCCCGTGAACTTATTTTCTGGATAAGGAATTGGTGATATTCAGTACTAAGACTTTATATACTTTTCTTACATTACGTTTTTATACCACAAGTTTGTTACCAACAACTGAGACACGTAATGTGCATTTTTTAAGAAATTGACTTTTTAACAGTGTCTTTACTTGTCTGGTGCTGACACGTGTCAATCGACTCATACTACAATAGTAAAATTTCCCGCCATATTCTCGTTCTTAACAGACATTTCAGCTGTGCCTTGTAATAAAACTGTACACCACCCTAGACTCATTGAGCCTGCGTGACTCCCATCATAGTTGCCATGGCTTGACGTCATTGACACTCGCACTACATTTAATTATCGAAAGCGTTGACATTATTACATTAGGGCAATTGAGATAAGCGTTGACACGCAAAACCTAGATTAGTAATATTATTGTAAGATTAACTACCGAGCATTACCTTGGAAGTGAAACACTATATATATATATATAGATACATAATTGACGCCAATAGCTTGAACTGTACTAGATGACTGAATTCCATATCACTTAAGATAAAGGGCATACTAATGATAGTTACCGAACTAGTCGAGGGGGGGGGGGCTTCACCCTGTAATGCAATACCCAGTACACAATGCAGGTTAATAATCGTTGTATATATCTATGCAAACTGTTTTTGTATATTTTACAATAAAATCCAGTTCACTTTTTACTTGACGTCATACCGCAGCGTTGGGATCATTTATCAAAACTAGCGGCTGATAGTGATAACTATGGCAATTAATTGTTCAAACCTATTAAAAACACAACATTCTTCTCATGGCTTGGAATACATCTAGTCAAACTCGATTTGTAGTTCTTGCAAGTTAAATTACTCATTTTAAATTTGATTGTTAATTAGGAGACCAAATCTTTAAAAGGTGGTTAGATGCGTGAGAGTTGTTAATTTGTTAGTATCACTGGTTCATTGTTTTTTTTTACTGAAAGAGTGAAGTGCTAGTTTTTGTACCGCGTTGCATTTTTTCGCAGAACAAAGCACTTATTCCATTATGTATGTACCAAACTCAAAAAACAAAATGTTCGCCAACAATTTGCGTCACTTTCTGTATATCACTTCCGGTACGTCGCTCATCCAATCAAAGACTATAGAGAAGAACTTTGATCCAATATTGTTCACAGCTATTTTTTCTCTGAAAAAAAAGAGAAACGATTTTGTTTTTTAAATCCATTATGGAAAAATTAATTTAATATGAAGAATGTATGTGAATTTGTTGAGGGGTGGGTGATGCAAGGTGTTTTGGGACTTTATTTGATAAATATTATGACATTCTTCGGGACTTTATCCGCCACTGTTCAGAGTGTTTGCATTTTGTTGTTATTGCTGAATAAAAGAATGTTACGTTGAATAAAAACAGTACTGCTGCTTTTGAATATCATGATTGTCGACAATTTGAACAAGGACCGCTCCCATAAGTCGCACTATCTATCGTTGAAGTGCTCCTGTGACGTTTTTGTGCGAAAAAAAACGACCGTTCAGTCGATTTGATTCGTAGTCGTCTATTAATAAAAAACAAGAATTTCAGAGATTTGTTAACCCAGGAAATTAAACAAAACTTATTAAGTAGAAGCGTATATGCAGTCATATCGAACCGAAAGGGATTAAATAAGATATTATTGCGCATGCGTCAGTCTCTACAACTTCAGACACTATTGCGCACATCAAACATATTCAGATTTTATTAAACGAAATACGCTAAGGCGTCACGTGTTAATCCATCTAATAGAACCCTTTCGTAAGTTGAGCGCCCTCAAACACTTTCTGTTTCAGAAGAACTGAAAGAGAGGCCAATAGGCATAGAAATTCCACTGTCTCCATAGACACAGTAGCTATCCAGTACTGTTTTAAAAGCTAGAAACTCAGAATTTATTTTATTTTGACTCAGTGCTAAGCTGGCAGGCATGTGATGATTACATAGAATCTAAATCAAACTAAAACTTGTTAAAATTCATTTAATGTTTGATCATATTACGTCACCACTACACTGGGAATCACACGCAGGCATTCATAATCACGTGTTTCATTGTTCTGACCGTTGGTTTATTTTTAGTAAATCCACATGTCTCTTTGACTCGCATCTCGTTTACACTTGTAAATGCCGTAGTTTTTGTCAGCAGTTGTAAACGCACTCCAACTCGTGCGATTAAAGGACGGTGGTCGTCGCGCCACGCATGCACGAAATGAAAAAAGATGGCGACTTTGAGGGTCGCACAGACAAACTAGTACAAACTGGGCGTTACTAAGCTTTAACAATGTAATCCTTGGTGATTAGTAGGTATTGAAGGTGTTACCGGTGGTAATTAGTGCACGTCCCACCCAGGTCAAAATTCGTACTCGTGATTTCCACAACAGACAGGTATACTGGAATGTAATACCATTGCAATTAAAGTATTTCCGATGCTCGTCAGCAATTGACACAGAATAGTATGATTCCTGTAAATTAAAATGATGGTAATCTTCATATTTGTCACAGTGACCTGTTTATCTCAATTGAGAGGGCCACCGACAGAACTTACTGGACAGGGGGTTCTTTCACTGCTAGTATGGGGTAGACAAGACAATAGTACTGGGAATGAAATACACGTACACCAGAATATCGAGTTACAGCTCATGGCTTTAATACCTCTCAAAATAATTACAAGAAATAAAGCACAGAAAAATACAATGAATAAAGTCACTAAAATAGGGGATTGCTCAGGGAAGTGTGCATTGGTGATAACTCACAGTTCCAGGATGTATTATTGGACGGCAGTCAATGGCTTCTGCAACTCAACAACGGAGAAATACAGGAGTCTTGCTTGCAGAGGAACGCTGGTATTCTGGAGGGCACCGCTGAAAGCAGGAGATCGCAGAGCAGTTCATACAAGTCTCACAGAATGATGGCTGTAGCCTGTAATATCGTATCGTAGCAGAACACACAGGAAAGCAAGTTGAAAAAACGGACACCAAGTTGAAATGATCGACCAAAACTGTCTTTAGCCTGTCCAATTTATAGGCAGTGACATCATCTGGGTCTCCACATGAGCCAATCAGAATGTAATCTTGCCAGCAGTTGTGTCACGTAGGCAACTCAGTAGATCACAAACATCCTTTGTTGTTCAAATAACAGCACACCTGGTAGATTCCATTTCTCGTTCCAAAGTTGTAAACACCCTTTGTTATGTAAATTACAAGCTTAGAAGTTAGAACCCACTGTCCTCCCAGAGTTGAAAACAAGCATGACTTGTCAATCACCTTTATGATAGTTATCCCAATGCACACCGTTTCTTCCCATGATTCCGTGCACACTTCCATTTGCAGGGTTTGGGGGAATATGACAAAAACATGAAATAAAGGATGCTGACAATATTACTTTCAAATTAAATATCATCTTAAATGTGCTATCCTTCTTTAGGCGTACACAAATGGTTGAAATGAATTCAATATTTTTGAATTTCTCCATCAATGTCAATTTCTTCTGATTTGTGGCTTAAGTACTGTTTATGGGCAATATTCTGTGCAGGCTTTTCTGTAAAGTCTATATGTGCATGGGAAATTAAGTCAACTTTCATTTCATCCTTAGTCATTTCATTTTTTGCTTTGTGTTTCAGCTAGCCTGCTCTGCTCGTTGGCGTGTGTAATAACCATGTCTTATTCCTCTGTGTCCCATTTTCCGACCTCTGAAACGCCCCTTTCCCCTACCTTTTTGAGTGTTGATACAGCGCATGCTGGCTTTGCTTTTACTTCTTGTATATCTTTTACCCTTTTGGTGACATCATCAACGTGAGGTCATCATTGAATGTCACTGATGTTTAACAACGATAGGGATAGCTCTGCATGAGGTCTGGTTTCTCCATGACCAAAGCAAGTGTATATGTTCCCATGGTTAACAGTTTCGAATAGTCACTTTCAGTTGTTTGCAGCGCCAAACAATTAACAAGTTTCACATCTGCCAAGCCCTTCATAAGTGCAGCCTGTACTGTTTGGAACTTGTTTGCCATAGCTCTTGTTTCTGGGCGTATAATATGATCCCATCCCAGTTGGTTAACTCTGACTATCATGAGCCCTTCACAGTTTTCTGGTCTTTTTTTTATAAGCGCATTGTATTTTTCGGAAATACCACCACGAAATAACCCATTAACAACCTCCGCCAGCTGGAACTTCGCATTTTTTATTCACAATGAACAAAATGCCTTAAAACTAGCTCACACTGGCCTCGCCAGCCCTGACCCCGCTTTGATTTCCAAAAGCAGTATTATCGCGTCTGATATTTTCTGTTTCTTTGACACATGGTTTCTGAATGAACAGTTTCTTGATCATCCTCGTTATCTACTTCCACATAATTTTCACATGCTTCCTGAATGCCGTCAAATCTGGTGCACAAGTTAGCCAAAATCTCAACTTGTTCAGTTTTAATTTCTTTGATTGACATAATGAATACTAACATGGTTGACACGTCGTTCTCAGCATTTGCTTTATTACTGCTTGGTTTGACTCTGCCTTACCTTTGTTGTCTACAACTGTAGAATCGTAAGCGACATTATTTGAGGCCATCGTTACATATTGAACAATTTCGTAACTTCGTGAAGTTATCGAAAAAAAAAGACAATTGCGTTACTTCGTAAATACTATTATTATGCCGTGTTGTGGAGATTTTAACCACATAGTCTGTAAAACCACGTAGTGCTCTTGTCGGATTTCACAGCACACTGAAGTTGTAGAGATACTATCTGTGATTCCTAGTGTAGTGACGACATAATAGAATCTAAATTACGATATTGTAAGTAAATAAGGATGTAAACTGATTGATATACTAGTTATTCACCTTTCCCTGTGATGTTGTTAGAATGAATTTCTTGCTAGCATGTTCCATAGTCAGTAGCTTCTGGCATTTGATGGAATCAAAGAAGCCCTTCTCGTGATTCTCAAATGCAAGTCTCTGCCGAATAAAATTCAATTTTTCCGCCTCACCCAGTGCATTAACACGCATCACATCTACCTTCACCTCAAGTGAAACAGGTGCACCCGAATGCAATACATAGAGCCTGTCATCTGCTGGGTCTTCATGGACCGGTATTCTGAAAGAATTCAGGAAGCTTAGTATTACAGCCCCAGTTTGCTGCACTGCCTCTTCACTCTTCTTGATGTTAGCCTTCTCCAGGTCCCGGTGCTTGCCAGCATGTGGGCATTCAGGATCATTCACCATGTCACACATCTCCAACAACTTCTCAAAGTACTGGGCACGGGTTGTCCTGTAATCTAGGTACTGCTGGATTATGCCAAGTGTTGAGGCATCCTGTAAAATAAGACAGAGGTTCTGGCATGTGCAGGACTTGATGATGTGGAAGAGAGCTACAAGAGAAAGCTGGATGTGCATGTTTTCAATGAAAAGCTCAAGCAGCAACCTCTCTAGTGCCCCACAAACACTATTTAGGCAGAACAGGGCCTTGGCATATGCCTTTTCAGAGAGGGCGCTTTTCAGCCAGCCACTGGTCACCAATTGTGCCTCCAACAGAATTTCAGCATACCCTGAACCTCTGCACTTGTGGTTAGTGATCATACCAATGTAATTCATGGATGTGTAAACGGGTCGAAGGAGGATAACATGGTCCTTGAACTTGTCAGGATATTTCCACAACAGTGGGGGTTCCTTCATACAGACACCAAGATCAAGGGTATTGATGATGTACTTCTGACCCACTTCTCATGTAGCCTCCTCTGATCTCAGTAGTAGCTATTGCACTGTCTCATACTAGGTGATGGGCTGGTTAATGGGTCCGGCACTGTTAACCACGTTTGAGCCATGGATGTTTGTTGTAATATTGATAATCTTGTCCCAATCATTGTGAAACACTGCATTTCCATCACCACAGATTATGTTAGGAGTAAGGTAAGTCGAATTATCATCTAGTGCTTTTGCCATGGCAATCTCCAGCTCTAACCCAAAGTCATAAGACTCACAGTGCCCTAGTTTGTTCAAGATTGTCGTTAACTGCTTACTGTGGTATAGATGACGAATAGTTTTGACAACTTCCACTGCCCATTAGTCACTGCTCTACAGACATCTACTCCAATAGAGTACACAAGTCGTTGCATTCTTTCAGACTTCTGCACCTCAGAACCACAACCAGAAAACACCTGGCTGAGAAACCGTAAAACTCAGGCAGCAGCACCGGTGGTAATAGGTTGTATTCAAATGGAGACCCTCTAGACTTTCTAGAAGCAGGTCACATATATATTTCATAGCTGTGGAGAATCAAATGCCTCAGGCAGTCTTGTGTCTCGGACTTTTTTGTAAATATGACTTCTTTGTTGGTATACATTTTACAGAACTATAACAGGTGAAAGGATTATCACCTGGTACCCTTTCGTTGT